CTGAAAAATTTTGACTAATTGAATACACTCTAAGATTATAAAAAGTAGGTCTTTTAATTGAAAAAGAGGTAAATTCGAGTGAAAAAAATAAATTAAAGTCTGTAGTACGAAGGCTGCTTTCGTCCGAAACAGAAATGATTATTTTCTAACCATCCACTCAATTCTAGTATAACATGAGACACCTTAGTTACATTGCTTCATGAAATAAGAGAATAGAGCATGGAAACTTTTTGAGATAGTAGGAAGTATAAAAATATTCTTTCTGTTTCTAAAAACTAGCATTATTATTATTATTACTACTGCTACTTGAACTTCTACAAATCCTGTAACTACCTAAGATAAAGATGTCATTGTTACTGCTTATTATGGGTTTAAAACTTTTTTCATAGATGCAGTAAATACATTTTTCCTAAACATTATGCTTAGGGTTAGGTATCTGGAGTTCATGGTTTTGTTCTGATAGAAAAAGCTTCTGTTGTTATTTCCCAAATGTGGCATCATGAGGCCTCCTGCTTAAATAACCATCATTATCTATGGCATTTTATATTAGGTTTTTATATTAATGAACGTGTTAATTATTGTTAGTGTTCACAGGTAAAATTAAACACCACAAATTGACTTGCATAATTGTTTCTTATTAAAAGAAGAGAAAGTCTTCACCTGCTCAAGTTCGAGAATTTATTTTACTCATGGGAATAACGTCAGAGTAACTTGTTCCAGAGCACATGATAATAAGCAGTTTGTCAGATTTCTGAGTGATTGAGTAGGTCCATTACTTTGCCTGAAGTTACGAAATTGGAATTTTATTAAAATAATGTGCGCTAAGTAAAGATGCCCCGGAGCTGTACAAAAGAGGAAAATAGAAATGTAGTTGGAACAAATATCAAACTTTACCCTTCAGGTTTTTATGTGCAGCCTTTCCTTACCTTGGTATTTCTTCTGCTGCATCTACTTCCCCAGTTACCTTAACAGGTGTCTATAAAACGGTTCCACCAGACATCGCGACATATATTATTACAGATGGGTGATATAGTTACTAAGTAACACCGTTTGTAAAAAGAAATGAATCAAATTTATTGTGAATGCTAGTGCATTCACAAATAATATATTTGAAAAGTATTATTCGCAGTCAAGACTTTAATTATTACATGTACCGCCTGCCTTCTCTGTTTGAATGTTAAACTCTGTTTTATTCGAGGTGAATCAGGCAAACTGTGAATTCGACTAGCTATTAAGAGTACATAGTATACATAATAATGAAATAGCATGTTACACCTTTTGAAGGTAAGAGTAATGTACCAACAAACAGAGGCGCAACTTTCCCAACAAATTTGGTTAGCAGTTTCTAGGTCTACCTGGATATTATCAGTGTTTGTGCCCAAACTTTTCTTCACTGTGTGTTGACCTTATGTTGGACTCACAGAAGCCCTATAGAAAACACGTACTGATTAAAATGCTATAATTCAGTGTACCCTGACAGTGATAGTGCCCAGACAGCCAAGCTTGTGGCGGTAAGGTACATTTACATGAATATCCTGCAACCATCCACAAAATATTCATATAAATTCTTTATAAGATCTTTCTAATATAAACACCACTAGTATGAACCCTGATTTATAGGGGATATAATAAATATAGCTATATAAAAAGTCTTAGAATTGAAGAGAAGTGAAGAATCAGCCATCTCTCACACTGAACCAGTGGCAACATAGGACACAGTAAAAGACGCATCTATTCTGGTAAAGATGTACGATAATCACAGAAAGATCGTTCACTCACATATAAGGGTATAGGTAAAGGGGGGTCATAAAGCAATGAATAATGACAAGCAGATTTGAAACAGGTGAGAGGGTTATAACCCCTACTGGGTTCAACCAATAAGAAGCTTGGGAATCTTAAAATAAAGATTGCATTTGTGAGCCTGGCCAGTTGTTGCACTCTCACTTCCCTCGACAAAATAAACTATACATAATAAACCACTTAGGTCATGCACACCCAACTGATTAATAATTTCAAATGTATTACTGTTGCAATTCTTACATGGATGAGAGCAGCACAACTTTTATATTAGGAAAACATGTTTTATTCACAAAACAAAACTTAGCAGATAATAATAAAATAACATGAAATATTCGATGTTTCAAATAGTGACATTTAACCTTAACAAATTTCTGTACTATTTTTACTCTATTAGTCACAATGTTGATATGCCTTTTTAACTTAAAATTCTCTGGGTATTAGAAGTTCACATTCCAGAAATTTTCATAACACTAGCAGCAGAGATGTTAAAAGAGGATTGAATTCCCTTCTATTGTTGCATCGCTCTTTCAACTGTTGTTTCAACTCAGAAGAGTCCGGCTACTAACACATGATGCTTCCAGAATGTAGTGGCTTAACTTCTTGCCATGTGATAAATGATATTTGTACCGTACCTCTCCATGGCTCTCATTCCATGTAGGAATTGCAACAGTAATTCATTTGAAATTATTCATCATATATTCCACGTTAAAAATAAGTCATTGACAGAGTCCACCAGGGTTCCTTAGCACTGTACGGGAGCGAAGTGATCCGGTGGTAGTTATATAATATGTCTATAATAATCATCCAGAGCTTGAGATTAAACGTTTTTCCCAGCGTCTTTGAGGAACTTCTGAATTTCGTTCGAAGATGGAAACTGGAGTTGAAAACGACTCCTACATCAAAACCAGCAAGGAGCACAGAAAAAGATTTCTGTTATTATTGCCGTAAGCTTGGCCACATCAAGGCCACCTGCCCCAGGTTACGTAAAGCTGCTTCAAGTGCTAAGTTAAATAGACCACAACCTCTGAGGAAAATAACTATGCTTATTGACTGTTGCATGCAAAGAGTATATACCCTTTATTCACAGCATGTGAACACACTCATTAAAAGCTACCTCCCAACCAGCGAACCAGGTAGCTAAGGGTTTGATGATTTCGTGGCCCCGTCGTCAAATCAGCACCTAGGTTCAACCAATCATATTGTGGAATTGGCAATTGTGGAGGTGACATGGATACCACTCACATTCTCACCCTTGTCATTTTCATCCAACTGCTGGTTGAACATGGTTGTCCATTCTGTCTCCAGGCTGTCTTTGCCTTTTGATTAACCGTGTTGTACACATACATTTCCAACTGTATATAGTGTACATACTTGCAAATACTTACAATCGGACTTGGTGAAGGAAAATATAATTTAAAGTCATTCAGCTGTGTTTGTTTTGCTCCTTGCTCCCCTTTACACCCAGGATAGCAGGCCTTAATGTTCCTGGGTTGAAATATTCACGAAGCAAATCAGCTGTCTATTAATGCCTGTATGACACCTTTTCAAAATTATAGTCAAATCTCCCTTAAGGAGCAGGAATGACCCACTGAAGTATCCACTTTCAGGAATACCGAAGATTATTGCTCCCTTTTTCAATTTCTGAGCAATCATCTTTAAACTCCTCAGTGTTGTTAGAAGCTTATATGGAAGCTGTATTTTCTGTTCTTTTGCATAGAATATTCATGCAAAGCCAGTATTACACTAGGTGTTTAACTGTATATTTACCTGGGGGGTTCGTCGTGAAAGATGTTTTATTGTTGGTTGGAAACAATGTTCTAAATTCTAGATGTCCCGAACCAATTGTAACCAAGGAAATCTTCTCCGATGTTGGTCATAGCTTGGGCAACGCGCAAAGAAAAGTCTGAAGAGAATGCTGACTTTACCTTGGAGGACTTCAATCCAGGGATAAACAATTTATTTTTCGAGGAAAACTGGTCAGGGCTTCGGAAATCTTGTCTGTCAACCAGCCTTCCTATTCCGAGGTTGCAAGAATGCCAGACGTTCTTGTTTCCATGCCCGAGGAACTGTTCTTCTGAGAAGAGCTGCAAAGGAACTCCTCTCTAGCATTCACTTTTAAAAATCCTGATAAGGAGGTAGCGGGAGCGTTAAAATCAGATAGGTTTGTCATTGGGAAGATAATACAGCATTTTGATTGGCCAGGAGTAAGGCGAAGGGGCGAAATTACATCCGAACCTATCGTGAGTGTCAGCAAGTGGGTAAAGCCGGACACTACATTAAGCCCGCACCACTTCGTCCCATACATGCTGATGGAGAACGACTTGCAGACCTAATTAACAATTGTGTGGGACCCTTACCGTTATGGATAAAACTTTTAGGTATCCTGAAGAAGTACCTATCTGTATTGTTAATACTGAAGCCCTCATTACGTTTATATCCCACTTTGGCATTCCACGACCTTTTCGAAGTGACCAGGCACTAATGTCAGAGCAAAAGCATTCAGAGAAGCTTTGAACCGGCTAGGAATTAACCGAAAACTATCCACAGTCTATTATTCTCAATCCCAAGGTGAAGGTGGCTTACAAAGTGTTTCATCAAACCTTAAAAACTCTGATGCGGAAGCATTTATGCATTTTCCTACTGAGTGGGATGAATTGCTTCCTTTGTTACTGTTTGCACTGCGAGAAACAGCGCGGGAATCAACAGGGTACAGTCCCTTGCAACCAATTTTTGGGGCATAATATGACAGGTCTACTACACGTCATCAAGAATGGATGGTTGAGAGAAGCCTGAAAGACGCCCTGTGATCCTACATTAAGAATGCATGTGGCCCGTCAGCTGGCTAAAACCAACCTATGAATCGCTGAAAACAATGTGAAACAGAGGTATGACAAATCTTCTAAATTTCGCTCCTTTAATTTAGGAGATAAGGTGTTGGTCTAGGAACCTGTGCCTGGCCCAGTTGACGACCCTGATTCCCTGTACACGACCACCACAGCGACCACCCTCCCTCTCCCAGGACCACCCCAGAGACCACCCCAGAGACCACCCCAGAGACCACCCTCTTTCCCTCTCCCAGGACCACCCCAGCTACAACCCTCCCTCCCATCCTCTAGAATCCTCGTCCTATAAAGTCGAGACATACTGAGGACCAATTAGTAACACTAACGTCTACAAACCTATCCCGATATGTGGAAAAA